GTTCTTCTGCATCATCTGAATTTTGTTCATATGAGTCATATGATTCAATCTTCTAGTAATCTTTTGTTTCTTGTTCATTTTCTACCAGAAGAATTGGTATACTATTCTTTTGTCTATCTTGATTTACTCTTTAGAAGATTTATGAAGAGCTGAAACCATAAGTACATTCCTCTAAAATGGCTAGTTTCTCATGTGACTGTGATTGTTGGGGAGATTGCTAATTTTGCAGCTTATGCTTTTGTACCAGCTATTCTTGTCACTCCTCTGGGGGCACTTAGTATCATTATCAGGCAAGCAATTGGAACTAATGACCATTGTATCTTGATTTTTTTTTCATTCATATTTGAATACTAATTTCTTAATTTTCTTGCAGTGCTGCTCTAGCACATATTATACTGTGTGAGAAATTAAATATTTTTGGGATTCTTGGTTGTGTGCTATGTGTTGTGGGTTCAACGATCATTTTTCTGCATGCTTCTCAGGAATGTGAAATCAACTCTGTCAAAGAAGTATGGGATCTTGCCACAGAGCTGGGCATACTTTCCATGAGAAATAGCTTATAGCAATAGCATATAGTTGATGCTGAAGAGGAAGTTCTCCCCCCCCCCCACATTCCTCCTCTTTGATTTCTTCTTTTTTCACTTAATCGTTATAGTTGATGTTGAAGAGAAGTTTTTGTCAATTGCAGCTTTTCTTTTGTATGCAGCTATTGTAATGGTGGCAGTGCTTATACTTATATTCCAATTTGTACCTAAATATGGTCAGACAAATGTGATGGTCTATACTGGCATTTGCTCACTCATGGGTTTACGATCAGTATGTTGTTAGTTGTTGGCAGTTATCCTCTTCTTCAATCTGATTAATGTTCTGTGCTATTCTTCATGTCTATTTTATCTATGTATTCATTCATTCTCATTTATTGTTAACATTTCTAACAGGTCATGAGAGTTAAAGCACTTGGAATTGTTTTGAAGTTAACATTTTTGGAAATGAATCAGTTTAGCATATCCTCAAACTTGGGTTTTTATCTTGGTGGTTCTTACCTGTGTGCTTACTCAGATGAACTATTTAAATAAGGTAATGATATCTATGATTTGAAAATTTAAGAGCATTCTACCTCATTTTTCAACTTTTGATTTATTCTATAGTAAGTACAAACTGAGCATCACCATCTACTGTCATGTTTTTATCTATAATAAGCAGTAAATGAATATGATTGATGATTACTAAAGAGTCTACGTCACAATCAAGTAAAGTAACAACTAAATGTTTGTGTCTTCATTTCCGTGTGAGTGATGCAGCTTTCCTTACCATGCCACTCTGTCCCTCTAATTTCCCTTATTTTTATGGTTTGACCAAGTAAATAGCCATTCCATTCAACCAGACATGGACCATAGTGTTTTCTAGGCATTCTATCTAAATATATATAGTGGACATGTATATTTAAATATGTGCATGCATCTCAATGTATGTAACTATGTATGCTTGTATTTGTCAATCTGTTTATGTTTAAATTTAATTGGGCAAGTTGCTTTGTGTGAGAAAGAATAGAAACAGGGAATTGAATGTAAAAGCTTAAAACTTAAAATTGAGTTGTTATTTTTTCTATTTTTCAATTTATTGGTGAGTACTTATGATGGGAGCTCTGTCTTCAATTGCAGGCTTTTGATACCTTCAACACAGCTGTTGTATCTCCCATATACCATGCAATCTTTACGACATTAACAATTTT